GTGGACTTTATCCTTTGTTGGGATAGCCATCTAGAGTCCTAACTGTGCTAGGAGTTTGTTTGTTTACGCAGGTAAGGCTTGCCGGGGTAGAATCTTATCCTTATCCCTTGGCTGCCTTATCTTAAATGAATCCCTCCATTTGAACAAGTCTTTGGCAGAGAAGGTTCCTATTTTAAAATTGGGGATATGCTTTGGCATCCTTCTGATTTCCTCATCTCGCCAGATTAGGAAAAGCTAATTATTTGAGTTCATTATTCCTCCAACTTTCCTTTCTAACAGGTCAGTCAACGGTTGCATTTCTAAAAGTAATGTCAACTAGGACCTTTTCCTCAATTGAGATTAAATTTTCCTCTATCAGTTGCCCATAATTAGGTTTCCCAAGCTAGTGGAGATTTCCTCCCATTGAAAATTTGACCGTTACCTCTCTCCGATTTTTGAAGTGCATTAATTTTGCGTCTTTTCGGATTACGAAAGCAAGGTTTTTGTAAATGTCATCCCTTGACCTATTTAAAGGGAAATCGGAGCATTTGGATTGACAAAGTTCTCCTTCCCTCTTTGATCTCTCTCCTAAAAAATGAGCTATCTATTCTCTTTTTAGGGTTTTCCAAGTCGAAACACTTATCTATTTTCCCTTACTTGCTGTTGTTACTTTCTATGGCTTTTGAAAAATCTTCATTAGAAATTCTCTTCTCCTCTGTTCAAGAGACGAGGATAGAAGAGGTTGGACTTATGGAGGGTATTCAAGAAGAGGCCCTTGAAACCACTAATTACTTTGCCTAGAGGGTCTATAGTACCATTATCGACACTGATCTTTCCCATCTGCACTCCAAATTCTGCATTTTTAATTCCATCTTACTGAGAGCTCCTGGTGGTGATGAAAAAACTTGCGATTATCATGAAGGGGAGGTCTGTATGTATAAAACAGCCTTTAATTCTGGATTCAGATTTCATTTTCTTATGTTCGCGAATTCCTATCTTTCTTGAATATTGCTCCTACCCAACGCACCCCAAATAGTTGGAGGGTGTTGATTGAGCTCGGTGCCTTGTGGAGCTATGCCCACGGCATTAACGTTTTTCCCACTATTGGAAAGGTCCTCCATTCCTTTCAATTTTAGATGGATACTGGCCTAAGCTTGGGTTGGTACTATTTAACGAAGCAGGCTGGCTACGCTAATCTACTAGCAAAAATTCCTTCCCCTGCCAAAGAATGAAAATATTGTTTGTTCTTTGTTTGTGGTTCTAGATGGGAATTCGATCCCTATAAACCTCTGGTTGCGAACCCTACGAAGGTTCTCTACAAATGGGATGTAATGCCCACTTTTGCCTCTAGTAAGTTTCTTGCTATATTTTTTTTGAATTCCCTTTTTATTGCAAGAAACCAAGAATTAAGATATTCTAGTCTTTGCAGTTGACATCTCATCTGTGGGTAAAAGAGATTCTTGACAAAATTGTTGTGGCTCAAAGCCACAATTTTAAAGAATTCAACAGTTTGATTATAGAGACCAATCTGCATAAATTGAAGATAGGACCTAAACCTCTCGTTCTTTCTATTGTACCTCTGAAAAGTAAGTTCTCTATTTTATCTATTAATGTTTGTGCTATATCTTAACTTTTTCTTGCATCTTGTTAGATTTCTATTGCAGGCTTGGCTCTTCAACTTGATATAAAGCTGGAAAGAGAGGCTCTTAGGAGTGTGAGAGTCAAACAACAGAAGGAAGGATTCAGCAGCCTTCCTTTACCAATTTCAAAGAAACTATGGTCCAGCGACTCCCCTACTTCCAAGTCGCCCCCAATAGTATCTAGCTCCAAGGAGCCATCGATCTAGAGTCTTCCCCAGATATTCCTTTAATCAAGAAAATGAAGACTATTGAGGGTAAGCTGTCTGCCCCGACTCCTGGCAATACTTCAACTCCTTAAACCAAAACCACTACTTTGACAGTCTGGAGTGACAAAGAATTCACTGTGAAGTGGTTTTAGGATATTATCCCAGGGACCAGTCCATGGATTAAACCCAAATCATCAAAAGGAAAGTCAGGGTTAGCTCATGACTTCAATCCAATCCAAAATTCAAGAAAAGTCAACGCACGTGAAAGAGCAATCGTCGGGATAGCCATGACTCCAAGATAGTGTATATCCCTAATTATAGCTATTCTCTTTAGTAGATTAGTAGTTTGACCTTCACGACACCACCACAACTAGGATTATGTGCTTATAAATTGTAAACCCCTTACATAGGGAACACATGCTACACTTAGAGTGTACTCTTGCTTTCTCTCTTTCTCTCCCCTGCTACTTTATACTCTCCCATTAATAAAGATCTCCGGCCACCATTGCCGCCTTCAGTGGTTAGGTCACGTAGATCCAACCACCTAATCCTTGTCTCCTATAATTAATTGTTTTATACCACACACACTCAACTGATTTGATTATGCATAATCAACTTTGTGCATCATCAAGAATCGCTCTTTTCAAAATTCAATCATTTTTGGCAAGATTAATGCTAGGGGTAATTACATAACAAAAAATGTTTAAAAAACCATTTCATACTTGATTACCAATATTTTAGGAGCACATGTCCTTCTTGATGTAAAAGGTTAAGGCGTATACTTAATGCCGAATAAGTTCTCCAGTTTGTATCGACTAACAATTTTTCGCAAATCAAGTAAAAAATATCTGGGCCAGTAGATATCCCCTAGAGTAGGCTTTGTTCAATTCAAATTTGGTTTAGAGAATACTTTCTTTACAAAAAGCCATTTCATTAATTTGGACAATTGAGTCATAGAAACTAAAAAAATTATAGTGAAAATTGAGGTTGAGTCTTTTTTAAGAGACTTATAATGAGTTTAGTCCGTGAAAGAAATTTATTTAGAGATAAGTCCATTTTTAATCTTACTAATAAATAGTTAAGTCTACTATTTTTTAAAAACTCTAATACCCTTCCTTAAAGCAACTTTAAATTAGTTTCCTAACTTGAGAATTATTATTCCTTAATTCACTGTCAATGAAGATATGCCAATAAAGTTGTTTACATAAATTTGAAATTCAAATTCAAAGAACCCACTAATATTTTTAAAATCCATGCGCAAAGGCGATGTACAACTCATTTACAACAATCAACAATATATATATAACCCACTAATATTTTTAAAATTTTTTGACAAAATATCTTTAAAACATAGGTATTTGAATAATATCCACTTGTATACAAACATGTATAATCAAACTTTATTTAAAGAAAATCACACTGTAATCATGCATGAATCAACATCTGCATGAAGAGAAAAACATGTTCACCATTCATCATCAATTATATCTTAAATGGTTCAGTGTAAAATTTTTTTGAGAGTTTACAGTTCAAAATTTCAACATTCATAATCAATTATATCTCCAACTCCAACAATATATTCACCGATACTTATACTACTAATATATTATACTTAGCTAATAGCACACAATCATGCTTAGACAATATCCAATATCCAATATAATAATAGTGAAAGGATCCACTGATGCTTGGTGACCATGTATAGCAATTCAACACCAATGTGGAACCTTCATCGAAAATATATAAAATGGAGATGGAGAGAGAGAGATCATAATTAATAAACCAAAGAAAAAAAAACTAAATCTTCTCATCATAGAACATGACATCTAGGTACAAAATACCACCATGAAATTGCTAACTACCATCACCACCATCAATTGCATAAAAGAGCAAAGTAAAAACAAAATATCCAAAGCAATTCAATTATTACTAACTACCATTGCTAAGATATCAATTACCCAATCAAAAATCTCCTACCTCTCTCTGAAGATCTTTGAGAGTATATTATTTTACTTTATTAGTATTAAGTTCAAGCAGAGCTCGAAACCCAAAAATCCCTTGTATTGATACGTACTAAATGGTATCATAAAAATGTCTAGCGATAGGAATTGAAATAAATTAAGTATATCGTTGAAACAATGTTCAAATCTCCAAACTCAAAAGTTAAAGTTCCCATTTACCACAAGCACAATTAATGAGAAACAATAAAAGAGTTCAATCTTACCTTGAACCAAGCAAATTAAATTAAAAGGATGAACTTGGTAAAAATATATGAAGAATTACTTGTTTATTATCATGATTTAGAATCATATATAACCAAATATCTCTCATTAGAAGATAAATCAATGAGCTTAACTTATAATTAAACACAATTAAATTGCAAAAGAAATAAGTAGAACTATGTTTTAGGTTGAAATATATTTAACATAAGAACAACAAAAAGTAATAAAGGACATTAGCCTGAGCGTAACAAATTAGATAGTTAAAGGTACCGACATGTCCCTAATAACAAACAACCTCTTTATGTATCGTAACTACGTGTGAAACAAGTGATGACCACTGCACAAAACTTTTAATCTGAAAAAATGAAATGAAGTCAAATTAAAGAAAGTAGCCTTTTGTCAAGAACAAAAGCTTGTTAATAGAACTATATTCATTTACCAAACAATCAGTAGGATTGCATTCATTTCTTCAACGCCAAATAATACGATCATCCATATGACATTAGTACATAAACCCATGATTAACAATGTAGGCTAGCGAACTAAAAGCACAATCAAAGAAAGAGTAGTTATAAAAAAAACCAACTAAATGAAAGCAAAAACAAAATTACAACAATAATTTCAATTGTAATGAAGCAAAAAGAGGCTTAGTCTAATGGACATCACATACCAACCTTATTATCATGCCAATGTCCACTTTCAGAACTGGGACTCAAGATACAGTTGAATACAATACAATTAAAGCCAGGGAAAAAAATTGTTCTGGTACACAACCAATGTGACAAAAATGTAATTCTCATTTATTTTCTTCACTGTCTTTTTAACCTACACCACCCAAACATGTTTAAAACCAATAAGCGATTTTTTAATCAAAAAAGAACCAATAAAATGATAGCACTGGCCATTTGAACAAACTCATATAAATTAGGCAAGGGGTCTGATCCTCCTTACTTCTACTCGACATTTGACTCTACTCCTCCAGCATGACCTCTCCTACAATGTATGCCAAGTTTCTCATTAGTCAATCCTATTCCATTCTTATGGTCAATTTGATTTAAATGCCCCTTGATGCTTAACACCCTACCATGTTGTTGATCATACATCCTATCGCCAACATAATACGATCCACCAGAAAGTGATTCCCTCATTGCTCCATACTTCACATTCACCATTGGAACCAGCTCACCAAAAAGTAGTATAAAAAACAACAAACCCAGAAAACTAACACTTGCAACCTTCTTAGTTTTACCCTCACTTTTCTTGCTTTTAAACTTCTTTGCCCGTGGAGCAGATACAGGTTGTTGCGGCTTCAGCTTCGGAATTGGCACCAATGGCACTTGAGACCCTAGTGGCTTCATAAAATAAGGCAGAGATGGCATCCACGGATAGGCCATAGGGGCCATTGGCGGATGCGGGTACATCCCCACTCCGAATGACGCCATTTGGTCAATGCATTCCAAAATTCAAGATTTGAATGCTAAGATTGCATACATGATGACTAAAAATGCGAGTTTGAGGCAGCAATTCAATGGTGATGCAATGGTGGTGAGAATGTCGATGGTTGGCAGTGTTGGTAGAGAAAGACATTGTGAGAGACGGATGTATGAGAAGAGGTTAAGAGATGTATGGGAGGTTAAGATAAATCTTGAAGAGTCTTAGAATTAGAAGTCTTCAGAAATTGTTGGGTAAGAAAATATTTTGGAGGAGGTGTTTTGAACGTTGCGAGATGCATAGGGCTTAGAAAGATTAGGTAGGGGGAGAGGGTAATCGTTTACATAGCATGGAGGGAAAGAGAGGAAGATTTGGGGGTAAGATATTAGGGCATGAATTAGGGGATTGTGTCTGATATGGATAGACATTGCCTATAGAGGAGAGAGAGAGAGAGAGGCGTGAGTTAGGAAATGTTGTTGGGCGAAAAAATAAAATTCAGTACTCACTGTAGATCGTTAAATCAAAATTTTTGAAATGATTTGAACCATCTCTTATATTGGGATTACATTGTCCGTTGGATGTGTTTATGTTTTGTCTCAAAACGATCTGTACTTCTCTTTGTCTCCAAAATTCAAACGCACCTCTACTTTATTATATATATATATATAGAGAGAGAGAGAGTATGGGAGATGGAAGAGTGTGTATTTAAAATATCTTTGAGGGGGAGAGAGAGAGTTATATACTAATATACATATGAGAGTTGGGTGTATGAGATAGAGAGAGAAAGAGAGTTATATTAGAGATATAGAGAGAGAAAGAGTATGGGAGATGAGAGAGTGTATGTTTAAAATATCTGTGAGGGAGAGATAGTTATATACTAATATACGTATGAGAGTTGAGTATATGAAATAGAGAGAGAAAGAGAGTTATGTTAGAGATATATAGAGAGAGAGTATGGGAGATGAGAGAGTGTGTTTAAAATTTATGTGAGGGAGAGAGAGAGAGAGTTATATACTAATATACGTGTGAGAGTTAAGTGTATGACATAGAGAGAGAAAGAGTTATATTAGAGATAAAAGTGTTAAAGTTTTAAAAAGAATGAAAGTATAATTAAAATCGTTAGATCAATAATCTTCAATTGATTTGAACCACAAAAAGCTCAAGATAAAGAAATCTACCTACTTTATTATATAGATATAAATTTGTATCATATTACAATTTATGTTACTGTTTTTGTGATCATGTTAATGTTCACATTACTTTTTTTTTGCACGTTACTACTGTTATTTTTTCAAATATTAATATTCAATATTATTATTTTTTTGTTTTGAATATATTTTTTTTTTTGGTTTAAATGTTACTACTTTGTTGTGTTTAAATGATATTATTTTTTGTGTTTAAATGGTATTATTATTTTTGTTTAAATGTTACTATTTTTTTTAATGTTACTATATGTGTGTGTGTGTGTGTGTCTATATATATATATATATATAAGAGAGAATTTTATATAGACATAGATATAAGAGAGAGAATTTTAATGTTAGTCCAACTCTTAAAATTTAATAGTTGTTAGTTTTCAAAATTTTTGTAATTAAACATAACTACTAGGTGTATTTTGAATAATGAAGATCAAAATAGACTTAATATTAAATAAGTTTTCTTGATCAACTTATCTTCAAATAAGTTCACAAATGAGAACCGGCCTTTAAATCTCTCAAAATTATATTAAAGTGGATATTGAATGAGCAGTAATACTATGCTGGCCAAATTTTGGGGTTAAATTTGGAGCCCAAATAACTTGGCAGCATATTATTTGGAGTCTTTATTGGGGCTCAAATGACATGACACAAAATAAAGAAACTCAAGTCAGCTGTCATGTCATTTAGACTCTAATTTAATCACAAAATTTGGTCAGTATAACATTACTCTTGAATGAGATATAGAAAATTCAGCAATGCCACCGCCTAAACAAGTCATTCTTGGAAGTTGAAGAAAAATACACCACCAAAGGCTTAGTAAATGGCCCATGGCACGAGGAGTCCTAAGTTAGTTTGGGCCACACCTCTTGGACAAAACATGGGTCAGACCAACCCAATAAAAGTGGGCTACTATTCATGTCAAATTTTTAGATTCTAAAGAGTATTATTCTAATATATTGCATAATAACAATTTAATTTTAATAAACAAAGGTCGCAACGACAATCTAATCCCCTGTAATTAGGGCTCTTAGTCGAACAAGCCCGAGCTTGAGCGGAGTTCGAGCCAAACTTGAAAAGTTTATTTCTTAATCAAGCCTAAAAAATTGTTGAAGTTCGACTCATTTAAGAAACGAGCCGAGTCTGAACGAGCCAAAAATAAATCGAGTCCGAGCTGAGCCCGAGTATTTGCACATAAACGAATTGAGCCTATCGAGTTTGAACATATCTTGTAGGGCTTATTTTTTAAACGAGCCTAAAAACTTGTTCAAGTTCGGGCTCGTTTAGAAAACGAACCTAACTTGAACGAGCCGAACCCGAGTTGAACTCAAGTCAAGCTCGAGTAGCTCAGTTTGATTAACAACCATACCTATAATCCTAACCAAACCAATTCTAAATGTTTTAAAATTTAAAATGATCCTATAAATTTTTGCATCCAAAGCACACCTCTCTCTCTCTCTCTCTCTCTCTCTCTCTCTCTCTCTCTCTACATTTAAACACAAACAACGACACAAACTTCTGGGTCCATTCACTATAGGTCATAGGGTGTGTTTGGCAATTTATGGATGGATTGGACTGGATTGAATTTAAATCCCAAACCAGTCCAGTGAAATCCCATTAGGCTGGATCTATAAGAGGATAAAAAGAAATTGTGTTATCCAATCCCTGCTTTGGATAGTACATTATGATGGGGTTGGGATATGGACAAACAACAATTTTTTATTAAACATCTAATACTTTTGACATTAATTGACCATTTTACCCTTGAATCCTACTCAATCATATCTCCTTTTTGACTTGACAAGTGTTGGTTACCACTTTTTAAATATATATATTTTTTTACTTTTTGATCATTGTCGGTTACCAATTTAATATTGTGAAAAATATAAGAATATTTATGTATTCACCAAATACATGTTATTACACGTTGATTTTATAATACAAGTTTACACCTGCCTAGCGTCGGACAACTCAACCAACACACTCCCCAATGTTAAATAATTTCATTAATCCACACCTATCTGTGTATTATCTCTCCTCTACCTTTATCTTATTTTCTCTCGGTCCATTTTAATTTTAAATTATATAATAAAAAAAATAAAATATCACATAATTATTGTTCAATTTTTAATATTATAGAGTCTCTTCAGGGGGGTTGTTGCTGGTGAGCTTATATGAACAAATTTGTTCTTTAAAAGTTGGTTAGTTAAGGGGGACTCTGACATATTCTCACATCTAAAGGAGTGTTAGTATAATTTCAGAACCAGGATTCTAGTAAAATTAGCACAAAACAGAGGGCTTTCATTATAATTTTCCCACAATCTTAAGAATTTATTTTCCTGCCCCAGTTCTTTCAATAATTATCAACTCACGTGAGAAGAATTCAAACTGCCAAACCTGCAATGAAGCCTGCACAAAAACACAGATGCTCAGACAACTCAACAGGCTGCCATTTCCATTTGCAATTTCTTTCCATTCAATTAGGTCTTGTATTACAACATCAACTTCAGAATACTCATACAACAACTTGGCTGTAGAGAATGAAGAACGAACTTACTCTCACATGCTATAGAAATGCGTCGAAACTTTTGACTTACATAGCGGAAAATCAGTACAAGTCAAGTAGATCAAAGAGCACTTGCTTCAAAACTGGCCCTTCTTCCCAGTTTAAATGGAAAAAAAATGGAGGTGATTTCAATTTTTCTTCTTAGAAGCATCTATTGCTTCACACCAAAATACCATCTTAAACTATGCAACTAATGCATAAAAAAATACAGAGGCAAGAGATAGAGAGACGATAGAGACCGGAGAGAAAGAGAGAGAGGTTTATTACTGGCATCTGAAGGGGATAGGAGGCGCTTTTGTCAAAGGGGAGGGACCAGCAGCTGAAAGGGAAGGGAAAGAGGTAGAAATCCTACCTACTGTTACTGTTTAATGGACAATTTAGTCATTTTCTTCCTTATCCAGCCAATGGGCTTACAAATCCCAAAATTCACATGGGTTTCATGTATCTGGATCAAACGGGATAACTGGCCTACGGGCCGAGTAATTCAATCATAACGAATAGTCAATCCTTTTTTGAGAACCCAAAGCTGAGATATGTGGGCTCCCAATTATTTTTATCCAATCCAACTTGTGACATCCACCTTTATCCTTCCAAACAAACACACCCATAAAGTATTGCAGACTCATTTCTCATTCACAATAAAAACCCATATGAGTTCCCTCTCAGACATTGTTTTCAAAACTCTTTTCATACCACGACCACGATAACAACCAATTGATAAAAGTTACACCTTCAACTCTCGATCATAGTTTATTCATTTTCATAATTCATTGCTAGAAGTTAACAAAGGAAAAGCCTCATTTTAGGAGCTACTATTTTTCTCCACCCTCCCTCTCTGTAGCATAAGTTTTGAAATACACCCTCCTTCTTTAATATCGAATAACAATTCACTTGAAGAATCATCAAGGTACCATCCTCAATCTTCGTCTTCAACTCTCAATCCCTCTCCCAAATCATTTCATTTATGTCCTTCTCCTTCAACGATGAGCACCAATTATTTTTGTGATTCAACAACTAAAATGAAAATTACAGATTTTCTCAGTGAACAATGTAACTCTCACTCGTTTTGAAACAAAATAATAGTTGGGCATTGCCTTGAATTCTTCATCACATTGGGAAAACACCAAGTTTTATGTAATTCAGAGCAAACACCCCCTATACTTATGTTCCGTTTGGTAGGAAGAATGGAAAGTAAGGAGGATGAAAAGTAGAAGAGATACA